GAGAGAGAGAGAGAGAGAGAGAGAGAGAGAGAGAGAGAGAAACAAGATTTCATTGCATGCTCCAGGCCTTGAACTCACTCTGACACTGACTTAGGCCTTGGACTTGCAACCTTCCTACTCCAGCTTCCAAAGCAGGTAGGATAACAGGCCTGCACAATTAAGCCCAGTTTTTAGTTTTTGACAGGGTTGACAGTGAACTTGTAATCCCCGTGCTTCAGCCTCCCATGTAGCTGGGACAGTAGTCCAATACCACCAGGTCCATCCCAGCCAATTAATTACTTTTCTAAGATAGAATACACTTTTGTAGACACAGAGACAACAGGAAATTTGTGTTTAATGAATGAACAATTTTTCACAAAGACTGTCTATATCACATTGCGATTACAATGTAGATGAGCTGAAACTATTTTGTGCAGATTTAGAAGAAGGGAACCCTTTTAAAGAAGTCAGGCATATAGAGGTAGTTGAATAGCATTGGTAGGGAGGGAGCGTTATCTTAATTTCCCTTCAACTCATGACCATGGGAAAGTAAAATGGCTGCTTAACAAACAAATGGAAACCAAACACATATACACACTTGCCACTGTTTGACTGGCTTGCTTGATATTTTAACCCTGGCATTACAAAGCACTGCATGTATCAATGAAACTAGTCTAACAACAGCCAATGGTGCCATGCTGAACTATTTACTATCTTTTTATCTCACTGGTTGTCATCATTTCTTGAACAACTGATGAATGTCCACAGACTTTTAAGACAATGCATAAGGTACAGTGTTGCTTTGTAAACTTCTGTTAATCACATTTGTGGCTGCAAACAGGCTTCAAATGCTACAGAGTCGTGAAGCAAAAAGCTTTAAAGTGACACCAGGAACAGCAGTTCCAGGCACTTCTCTTGGGAGGTTATTTTAACATGTTTGGAAACACCCACTTGTAAGTGAAAAGTTCTTCATTTTATCACTGGATGTACACAATCCAGATTATTAAGTAGTTAAGCAGTATACTGAATGGGACCTATCATTCTAAAAGGAATTGAATGTGTACATTGTGCATGGTTCCATTCCTGCCCTCTGAACATTAGAAATGCCAGAATGCAAGCCTGTGCTCTGTATACTTTGTAGAGCTGTCTTCTATCCAGAATCTAAACCTCACTCCTTAGACCCAAGAATGGGCTTGCAGCCTGCCCATTTCTACCTTGATGAGTTGAAATGGACACACAGTCAACAAGCTGGGAACTCAGGGATGAATCTATGGCTAAAATTCACATGCTGGAAATGGGAGTTGGCACAGGGAATGCAGGCTCCAGGGGGTCGTAGTCTATCAACAGGATACAACTTGTTGACAGGGGTGCAGTGACCCAGCCGTGGGAGTTCTGAGGCTTCTGTGGCTACTCACAGGGGATTATCTGAACCCAGGCCAGCTCCACAGGCAGAGGTTGCAGCACCACATGTGCCATCAACCCTGCTACTGAGGCAGCATGGAACTCGAAGCACTTGGCCTTCAGAAAAGGTAAGCTATTGGAATAGTTCTCTGCTCCCCGTAAATGAGGAGCAAACATCTTTTTTGTTCAAATTATCCACTGAAAAGTAGTTTCTTCATTTGTTACTTTCTACATTTTGCTGGTTTTTAGCTAGCAGCAATAGTACGGTACAAAGCAGAAAGGCATAAGGTCTGCTTGCTACCTAGGGTCTCTTTGTGTGTGTGTACACACGCACAGATATATACATACACACATACAAACAAACAAACATACATACATACATACATACATACATACCCACACACAGAGAAAATAATCTACAAGGTCTGGGTCAGTCATGAATTCAAGATAGAAAGAAAGACTAACCCAAGAAAGTGGCACTGTCTACAAGGGGTACTCTTGTCCTTCCAGCTGAGATATAAATTTTATCTCTGTATGTCTCATGGCTGAGCTTATAAACAGAACCCATCCGCAGGTGTTAAAAATGGTCAAGTTCAATGGATTAGCCCAAGTATGTACATCCCAAAGAAAGTCCAAGCCTACTGCAACTTGAGAATAACCCAACCTGGATCCAGGCTCAAAGGAAAGTGCTATTTAGCCCAGCAAAGATTTCCATGTACTCTTGGGTATTCTCTTATCAAAGGAATTGAACTTCTCAATTTGAGCTCTTAGGGGGTTTTGTGATTTGATTGTCATGTCTATTGAGTAAACATATATAATGCAAACTGTTCAAAGATCTGCTACATTGTGGGAACAGAATCAAGCTTGGCCATTCACTGAACATGTTACATAGGCATATTCTTTAAAATTGCAGCGTCTCTGTTTTCTTCTCTATATATCTAACAATGCTGTCTAAAAGGTTATTTCATGTGCTCAGGTGAATGAGATCACTCACTCAGTTTAGTACCTGGTACATGGTAGGTTTTCAATACATCACAGTAGAGCCTGTTATTTGGGGCAGCAGAAAGAAATACTATTGGCTACATGCAAACTCCATAGATGGTGAAATCTAATTGTTCTGAAATCTAATTGCTCTAATCGTTCTAGTTGACATTCTCAACATATGAAGAACAGGGAGGGGTGGTTTGGTTATTATTATGGAGCTAGAACTTAAGGCTTCCATTCTATCAAGAATTCTAGATGTCCCCCAATATAACACCATTTTTTAGCCCAAATTAAAATGGGAACAGTTTTCTTGGCATAGAAATTAGTGTCTACATCTAACTTTCATTTTCTCTCCAGTCTTTTAATTTCCCTTACATTTCTTTTATTTTTACAGTACTGGAGAGAGAATCCAGTGTCCCAATGCATGTCAGGTAAACACTAGCAACTGAGATATATCCCTAGCTCTACTTTGCTGGTCTTAACCCCAACAGGAGTCACTTGCAAAGTATCCAGTTGTGGTCTTAGAATCAGTGGTTTGAATTTACAGTGGGGTGCAAATGAGTATTGCAAGTAAAGGCAGTGCTTCTCGCAACTGTAGACCATTGATGATATTCTGCAATGTGGCTGATAATAATTATAGTTTATCAAATATCTCCCATCATCAAGGCACTGTGTTAAGTAATTTCTGACATGTCCCATTTAATGTTCCTAACAACAAGCCTATATGCTATTAATATCACTGCCATTTCTTCTTTTAGTAAAATATATAGAACACTACCCAAATTTGCCTACTATCTTTGTGAAGGGGCCATGCTAATCTCCTCTGTTTCATTCCAATTTTAGTATATGTGCTGCTGATGTGAGCACAAGTAGCATTTCATATATAAGAAAACTGGGACTCAATGGAAGTTAAATTACTCGCCAAAGTAACACATGTAGTAAGTGGAGAAGCTTGTTTCCGCTCTCTAAGCCCTCTAGACTTTAACTTGGATAGTATCTACTTCTGTGTTTACATTCCGTACACTTGCATCATTCTTCACCAGCCCAGATTATTGCAAACATCAAATCTGGCAATGCTCTGACAACACAGCCTCCATCAAGCAAGTGCCAGTGATAAGTTGCTTTCTGCTTTAATGAGTCTCTTTCATAGCATTTAGAGGCCATCTCTCACACACAATGCACACGCAAGCCCCGCCTCTTCCATGTTTCTGGTGGTTATAGATCCCAGACTGATCCTTATCAATTTTCTCTCTCTCTCTCTCTCTCTCTCTCTCTCTCTCTCTCTCTCTCTCTCTCTCTCTCTCCTCTCTTCCTCTCTCTCGTTAACAGAGTGTAGAGGGGCTACATATGAATAACACACCATAGCTGTCCAAAATCGGGAGTAATTTGAGTAAGAAAGAAAATGTGACAATTCACCTTTCCTAACTCTCATTTTCTCCTCTGCCACGATAACACTCCCACACTCTATTTTTCAGGTTTCTCTGACACCAAAGGACTCAGACTGGCACTATGTAAGCTCAGAAACACTACTCCCACCTCTTCACTGTCTTTTCTCCCCCTGCATTGAAATCTTTGGCCCATCGTTACCAGGAGGGAAGGCAGTGTTTACATAAAACCGTGGATTCATTCTCTGGATCTTTTATAGTGATTTAAAAGGGGTTCTAACCTATCCAGTTTCTTCATACTTTAAGAAAGAAATAGTTACTCAAGTATTTCAGCACATGTGGGTGCAGGTTTTAAACTTCAGAACTCAGAAGATATGGGAAAGGCACACCAAACTGAAAGTCATTCCTTCTTTAAAAAAAAGGTGAATATTAAACCTATAATAGATTGTAATAAAAAGACACCTGTAATTCCTCTTTCTGATCTTGAATACTTCTCTCAACCTTATTCTGTACTACACATGGAAACTGGATTCTTTTACTTTACTTTGGTATACCCCACAATTTATGTCAAATCAATTAAGTATTTTCTATTCCTTAATTCAAATGGAAAATGTGGAATTTGTGAAGATACTTTAGAATTCTTCTGAAGTTCTTTTAAACTTAGTCCACTAGAAAAGACCTGAACTATATTAGAGTCTAAGAAGTGGGATTAATTCAACAAAAACTGAATAAAGAAAGAACATTGCACATGGTTAGTACTGTTATCCTCCCTACATACATAGTCAGCCACATCAATAAATAAAGCAATGGACTGTTCAGTAATGTACACTTAAACAGTTACAAACGTACATGTAGAAAAAGGACGTAGTAGTGCAAAAAATAAATTATTAAAACAGAAAGAAGTATGAACATTATTTTACACAATGCTTTATAAAACCTGAACCATTTGAAATAAGACCTCAAGTCAATGAAAGAACACAGCAACAGTAGTATCTCTGCTTGACATTTCAACCACACACTCATTCAGCTATGAAAGACAAGTGACTTTTTAATTTCAGAAAAATTGATGCTAAACATCAACTCTTTTTGGCCTCTTCCACACTTCTGCTGTTTGTGTGCTAGCATAGTGTGTCAAGAAGCAACTGAACAGAAACTCAAAACAGGTCACATCCTTTTGGTCTTTTCTACCTGATTTCTGTGTGGTCAAAAAGAATAACATCTCTCTAGGGTACTAGCGTTTGTTAAGGTGTTATTGCAATTAGATATGTTTACAAGAACATTGCCCCAGGGCAGTGGAGAGGACAGAAATTCCTCTTCCACAATCCAGTCCCATTAATTTTGGTTTCTCGATATAAAGGCCAGGATACGCCGAATACCATTCAGTCTATCCTTTAAGGACCTCATTGCTAGGAAGGGAAGCTGAGCTCTGCTTTCCAGGGGAAGAACTGCCAGTGTCCACCAGCACCAGGCTGGACCATTTGGATTAACCTGCAACAGAGAAACAGAGTTCATGGATCCCATGCAGTCCATGTATAAAAGAAGTCCACATGCAGAAGGTAAAACATTCCACATGGAACTGCTTCTGCATGTGGCAGAGACTGCTGAGAGTATCCAGCATTTTTCTCCTCTCTTATTTCAGCTAAGCATACAGTTACATGGTGGCAGGGGGTGAGGAAAACTGTTATTTCTCAGGCATTCTTGCAGTTAGGTGAGATCATAAGATCAAATTTTGGCTAAAAACATAAAGAGAAGTGATACGCCTATGTTCCCAGTCATCTTATGTATGGGAAAAGAACATGTAATCTCTGCCTTCCTCTTTCTTCCAATTTTTCATTTCTTTTAAAAAAATTTTTATTACTTTATGTGTATGGTGTTTTGCCTGTATGTATGTCTGTACACTACAGAAGTCAGAAAAGGGTGTCAGATTCCCTTTAACTGGTGGTTGTGAGCCACCATGTGGGTGTTGGGACTTGAACCTGGGTCCTCTGGAAGAGCAGTCAATGCTCTTAACCTCTGAGCCATCTCTCCATCTTCTCCTCATTTCTCTAGGAAGACTGAAGACATGGTGATTATCAGTCTTCGTGAATCAAGAAAAAGTAACCTTCTAAAGATGGCAGAGCTATGTAATGGAAGAGCCCCGGTTTCTGAATGCTTATTTGAATATAACTGCCTTAGTCACATCCATACTTAGTACTTGTTAAACCAAGCAAATTAACATTTTAAAAGATGCACTATGCTCTGTAGGGAGTATGATTTTAGGAGATGGAGTACTCACTACTTTGTTCCTTCCACTTCTAAGGATCTGGTTAGGTCCTTTGGCCTGATCCATTTCAAATTTGGGCCTTTAATCCTATGACTCTTTGGGCTTGGCATGTCTTTTAACTCTCATCATTTTCTTTCTTTGGTGGAAGGCTGTAGTCTAAATATACCATGTCACTAACAGAACTATAGCTATCTTCTCCCCTGGAATCAAGAGCTATGATTTCCAGTCTCAAACAACAGCAACCAAACATCCCAATTAGAAAACACATTTGTGTTAACCCTCAGGTTTTCCTTTTAAAAAGACATTTCACATTCCTTATCAATCCTTCACCAGAATTCTCTTTGTCATCAGCTTCCTGAGAACATGGTTTAGACATTTATTGCTAAACCTCAAGGGAGTTTTTTTTTCCCACAACTTTCAAAGCAAGTCAGCTTTCAGCTTATAGAGAAGCACATGTGGCTGACCTAACTCCTTCCACATGAGGTTATTTTACTCCAAATTATTTCATGTGTTTCTCTCTCTGAATGACTGTGAACTCTTGTCTTCTCTGTCTCTTTAGCTTCATCTAGACACTACCAGGTTGATCCTCTGAATTTTCCCAGGATCAGCAACAGATCCTTAAGCTGATGTTAATACTGTGGCTGTTTCTGAGAAACCTCCCACTAAGGTACAACATCCTTTTTCTCGGAACTGCTTGGGGCTACAGGGTTAGATATAGCAAGCTGGATGGGTTTTTGCTGCTGCTGCCACCACCAAGGCAACAAGATAACAAAACTAATAAGGAAGGAAATGATTTGAGCTTGCTATGTCATTAAGGCCTTATGAATCACACTGAGGCATCTGTGTTTTCTCCTGTGGAAGATGTGGTTAGCATTGTTGATCTCTATCTTTTGCCTGACTGGGAGAGAATGTTCCCCAGCAGGTGAAGGGAACATTAAGCTTGAACATGACCTTGTTCGGAGTTATGCTGTTTTCTTGAGTCACAACAGCCAAGAGATGGATCACCAGAAAGCACTTGTTGGCCTTGCTCTCTTTAGAACATGTAAATGATGATGCCTCTGTATCAGGAGGGGGGAAAAGCTACTCTACTCTCTGGTCTGAGGGAAGCAAGGCACCTCGGCCAATTAGGAAACAGAGAAGCATTTTGGAGCCTCAGAATGTAAGAGGAGGAGGAACTTTAGAGATTCTTAATGATCCATTCTGATTTTAGAGAAAAATTGAAAGAGGGGAAGGGATTTACCCAAGGTCACAGTTAGAAAGATGCAGGCAAGGCTTGGTGAAACCAAACTCTACCCACTTTCCTAGCCGACTGTGGATCTGCAGCTTGAACTCACGGAGAGCTGGTTCACATGGAAGACAATCCAGTAGAACCTGACAAACTATGTCCTTGGGAGTCAGCTATCTCCAGACCTGCTCAAGCTAGGAAAAATGGTGAGGGTCTAGACTTGCAGGGCTATGCATAGATGGGATGGACATGAAGGTTTCTGCAGCTGTGTTCTTATAGGCTAAGTGATCCTACCTCCTAGCTCCTGCAGCAATGGGGACATGAAGCTGGCTGGAAGTAGTAGCCTTGGGTATCACCTCTCTTACTCCCTGGCCTTTGCATATATCCTGTCACCCTAACACTCTGGATGTTATGGTGTAGCTCTGGATTCTGTTGGTATCTGTGCTCCCTTCCTCTAGTCTCACTTATTTCTCAATATCTGTCTTAGTTCCAAGTTCCTACTATTTATCACTATTCACTCAATTCAGACTTGGGACCCTTACTCATGATGCTCACTCCCTAGCTACACAATACCATACGGATTCTGTCCTCTTTTCTGCACTTGACTTTCTGCATGACAACTATATACTCATCTAGTCACAAACCCTGGACATTCCCCCCTGGTGGGGCAAACTATCATAAGCAGATATTCTTATATACCTGGGGGTCTTCGTCTTTCTCTGGCATTGGACCAAAGTGATTTAGTATCCGATTCTTCAGAGATGTTTTGAGTGAATGAAACCATGATGATGCTTGCTCATACACACAGTTGTGTAACCCCATGAGTTCAGCACAATCGTCTCCCTGAACCTGAAACCATCAGAATGAAAGTGAAGCAACCTCCATCTCCTCCATCTGCCTCAGAACTGTTTTCGACACCTGACTCTTTTTTGAGACTCTGACCTGCCTCCCCTTCACCCATCTGGCTTCTTCCTGTGTAAGATATGGAACACCCAGCACCTGGTGTACCAATATGGCAGAGAAAGCAGAAAGACAAAAGGTTTGAGGCCAATGCCTGAAACAGCAAACAAAGAGACACTCAGAAGCTTGAGCTGGCACAGCTGAAGGCGCATGAGTGAAGTGCATCATAGTTTAAGCCGCACCTCTGCCCCTTCCATTTTTACATCCATTTCTTTCCTATTCACTGGGAAGGTGGATATGACTATATGTGTGCCTCTTATGTCTTCAAGAGCAAATGCATTTACCCAATAATCATGTATTAATACACTACATAAGAAATATAATTGAACATAGGGTTACTGACCTCTTTATCTACCCATTAACTCCAAAAAGCAAGGATTAATTGGACATGGAACCATTTTTGCTTTCAGAGATGGCAAACAACTCTGATTTAGGAAGAGTGCACTTGGAGAGGCTGCACATTGTAAAAATGCAAATTTGTATTTGAATCAACAATAATCACAAAAGAAATAAGTTGGAAAATATAAATCAACCCATCTTTAAAATACTTATGTGTATGTAGATCCCATGCTAAATCGAGCCCTTAGTGTTCCCAGCAAAGACCTAACACAGGCTGAATGGGCTCAGTGATTAGACTAGACAAACATTAAGCACAACTACAATTCAGCTAAGCACGGAGGAGGACAGGAAAAGGGAGGACTATGGGTGCAATTGGGCAGCAGTTCAGCAGCATTAACTCAGGAGCAATTTGGTGAGAAACCCCAAGGCCTCAAGGCAACTCTGAGAAACCCCTTTGCAATCATCTTTGTATATCAAGCTACATTGATAATTTGGCATCTAGGTTTCTTGGCACTGGCCACTCTCACCTTTTGATCTTCAATGTATTCAATGTCAGCAGTGTTGTAGCCATCCCGTTGACCCTGATGGAGCACTTTGAAGCGCCTCTTGCCTATGCTGTCAACCACCGATCGGCCATCAGAAAAGAACTGGACATTTCTGATCTCTAAGATGCAGCCATATTCTGCAAACCTGTTTATTGAGAATCAAGTCAAGAAAGTAGATTGTTGGTGAGTTCTATTGTTATTGGCCTGTACCCCAGGCATTCTCAACACCTTGAGCTGATTGCTACAGGATTTCTATGCCCAGATCTACAACTGCGGCTACACAATAGGAAACATCTGTGAAAAAACAAAGACATGAACATAATGGAATAATTGCTAACATTTGTTGAGCACATACTATGTGCCAGTACTATGACTTAAATGTTTATCCTCCTCAGATCTTGCGTTGAAATTTAATTACCATTTTAACACTGTTAGAAGGCAGAACATTTAAGAAGTGATCAGGCCATGAGCTCTCTGCCCACATAAGTGGATTAATTACTGCAAGAGCACATTCATTGTTAATAGGCAGGTTGGAGTCACCGTTTCTCACTTTGTCTTTCTACCATGTTAGAACACAGGAAGGCCTTATCACATCCTGAACATGATAGCACACAGTTATAGTCCTAGATACAAAAGAGGCTGTTAACAGGAGAATCACAAATTTGAGGCTTGCTTGGGCTAGTTAGTGGTACCTAGTCTCAAATTAAAATGAAACCAGCTTGGAATACAGCTCAATGGTAGAATGCCTGCCTAGCATGTGCAAGGCTCTGGATTTAGTCCTTGGTACAAACAATGCCTATTATCAGATGCCAGCATATTGGTAGAAGACTTCATAGTCTTGATAATTTTAGGGACAAATTTCTGTTGATTAAAGCTACATGTGTTAGCTCACACCTGTAATCCTAACACTGAGGAGGCTGAAATCAGATTTCTATGAGTTTGCTGTCAGCCTAGACTATACTGTGAGCCTCAGGCCAACTTGGATATATTATGAAACCCTATCTCAATAGTGCTTACAATACAGCATTAGGTTACAATAACCAAAATGGTTTCATTCAGACAGGAACTGTACTTAGTACTTGGTATGCATCAGTAGCTCATCGATTCTCTCAATAAGCAAGACCAGTTAGGTAGGCATACCATCATGCTCACTTAACAAAGAACCTGGAGACAGAATGGCCAAATGATTTGTCCAATGTCAAAGGGGCTCCAAGGCCAGGGCTCAAATGTAAAAATGGGTTGTGTAACTTTAGGGCTTAACACTCTTTACAAGACAATAGGTTTTGTCTGTGATGTTTATCTCTGAGACAGGCTTTCATGTGTTCCAGACTGTCCTTGAACCTCATATGTAATCAAGAATGACCTTAAACCTTGTATTCTCTCCTCTACCTTCCCAGTGTTGGGATTGTAGCTGTGCAATACCACTTCTGGTTTATGCAGTGCTGAGGATTGATGTCAGGGCTTTGTGACTGGTAGGCAGGCCCTAGCCTACAAGACAAGTTTTACAATGTATGCCACCTGCTGGATGAAAGATTCCCTCTAGGGTTCTCTTAGATAGGGAGCTTCTCATACTGAAAAGCAGACACAAGAGAGACTGTCAACCTCACAGAAAATTGGTGTTTCGAGCTGGCTAACCTCACAGACTTGTTGACCCCACCTCTAGGAGCCTTCCAAAGTAAAACAGAAATACTTCTCCAGTCAACTTTCCTCTTCTCTAGGCCTCTTCACTTACCCTTTGACAGGATCTCCAAGGCACATGCCAAACTGTCTCGTGCCTGTCTCAATACATCTCCGAATCATCAGGCGGTAACAAGGCTCAAAGATGTGCAAGGGGCAAGGAACGGTGGGATAGGCCATGGTACACACAAAAATAGGCACATTCTTATTTAAGCTGTCAGGAAGAGAAGATGAGATGGATCTCAATCCAAGGTGGCATAACACAGAAAGATTGGTCAAATGTCATGATATAGTTCCCTTGGAGAAAGACAAGGAGCCATCGAATTTTAATGGCTGATAGAAAAGCATTGAAATGCACCTGATGCTGTAGGCCAAGACCCATGATCCAGTGCAGACTACACCAAGGCTGAAATTCTAAACTGTCATTGCATAGTCTAAGTTTGTTGATTAGTTCTCTATAAACTTACTGCGCATGACAGCTCTGCTGCTACTTCATTTCTCCTCTCCCTCTGTTCCTCCTTCCTCTCCTTTCTCTGCCCAAATGGACAGATTAATTGGAGGCACTTTGCTTAGGGCATGAAGAAGGTGGTACCGGTGGTATACATGCACCAGTTTTCATAGGAGCAGTAGAAAACCTCCTGGAAAGTCCTTATATTCATCTCCAATTTGCAAAGCCTTCAGAGATCATTCAGAGCAGATTCAGCCAGGAGGAGTAGCCAGCAATAGACTGCCAAGAATAATGTATTCCAGTAATGCTCAAATGCTCCTGGACATCAGAATAATGGTAGACACTTAAATCTAGATGACTAGGCCTCCAGAGTTACTGATGCATTCACTCTGGAATTGGGATACAGGAATCTGCTTTTCAATAAATACCCTTGAAATTTCATGCATATGGCCCACTAGGAAACCACTACTGGGCCTGCTCTTCATAGATCCTGGTCCTCTGAATCATCTAGTAAATCCAGTGGCATGAACACTACGCCTAAATGGGCCAAGAAATGTATGGCCATTTGCCATCTGCCTCCATCTTAAAAGGGGTTAGGTCTGAGATGCCTTTAGACAGAAAGCCCCTCAGTATGCTCCAGGAGTGATTAGTACAACCTTAAGTGATAGCTGAGAAAAGGATTGAGAGAGGTTAAAGGTAAAGTGAAGAATCAGGGAAAAAAGCTAAAAATGTACAGGGTAGTTTCACTATAAAAGTCAACGAGAAACAAAGATTTCTAGTCTCTGAGAAAAATATTATATGAGCCAAGAGGCACATCCAGACCAACAGGATGCACAGTTCAACAATGATCTCTTCTCAGGGGGCATATAAGCAGAAGAGATTTTTTCCCCCTCAGGAAAGAGTTCACCTTCAGAATGCTGAGAGGACCCTTGTGGAGGGCAGGGAGGAGGGCAGCAGTCAGTGGGTCCGGCCTTAGCTATCATTTCCTGCTTTTTCTGCAAAGCGCACAAGAGGTGCACAAGAAGATGCAATTATGTCTTCATCCCGACCCTTCACCTCTCACACTATGTGTAGCAGAGGAAACACGCACAGGCGCTATTGTCACATATTCAGTGCTTGCTATGCACAAACTCTCTGGGTCTTCAGAACAAGTCTATAATGTAAATGCTATCTTCTTCAAGTTATCTAGGACTACAAAACATACTCAGTGATGCAGCTGAGTATTAACTCCAGGCATGTGCATGCGTCACACGACTCTTTAACCATCCCATCAGCTGCTTAAGGACTCAAAGGAATCTTCTAGTTGTTCCATGTGGTCTCCTAATTAAGCTGCTCCTTAATTCACTCCTCATACCATACGGTCCCTAGTGCTGAGATGTATCAGGTGACTCTGTGGTTTGGCTGTTGAGCTTCTTTGGAAGCATGCTGGTAAAAGTTTAACAACTGCTTCTGAGGGGGATGGAAGGGGCAGTCTATAGCACTTGTTGACTTCATGGTGTAAATACTCTCACCATGGTTATTTCAAACAGTTCACATGATATCATTTGAGTAAGGAGCTGGTAAGAAATGTGACAGTTTTTGTGAGCTAGTGTGCATGAAAAGGAAAATAGAGAAAAGTATATACATACTTAGAAAGTTCTTCCATTTCCTCGTCATAAAGCCTCTTTCGTTCCTTGAGTTCTTCTGGCAGGAACTTAGCTATGAGTTCTTCCATTATTACATTTTTGCTATATTTTCTTGATGGCAAGCACTAGAAGAGGAACAAGGTAATGAGCTATTGTATGGCTCACAGAAAACCCCAGAAAACTTTGGACCAAGCCCAGATAGTAGTCAAATCACTAAACGTTGTGATTTGGACCCACAATGTGCAAGCTAATACAGCCACAATGTGTGTACCTTCTGGATATTAAGAGTTTTGATTTTCTTAAAAAATATACAATTGATCCTTTAACATTAGAAAAAGGTATTTTAAAAAGGAAAATAAGGCATTAGACTTTTGAAAATCTCACAAATGAGCTAGAGCTTTGGATTTGAGATCATGTTCCTGTTTGAAGTAAAGAGGGGTGGCGCTTATTTCCTTTTTGCTTTCTTTATTGTTATGTTTACAAGCTCTCTCTGGGAAGTGCTGAAAGACTCTGGTCAAAGGATTCAGGGAACCAAAAGGCAATGTTCATATATTCTTTCATATCCTGCCCCAACCTCCATCCCAATTGAATGCCTGGCTCTTCAATACTACCAAGCCTTTAAGTCTTAATTTTAGTTAAAATAAATACCACACAAACGCTAACAGCCAAGTACAGGTCTTGTCAAAATGCAGAGAACAATTCACTGTGTGGTGCTCATCCTCAATTGATACAACTACAACACAGCCCCTACTTGTAAGGCTCAGGACATTCCAGATGAGGGAGCAGAAAGATTGGAAGAGCCAGGGGCCCAGGGTGTGTGTTTCGAGGTGGCTTTCTTCTTATATGACAGGAACCTTGAACCCATGAAATCCCAACAATTCACTTTCCTAAACAATACCTTAACAAGTGACAACACCAGAAAACTTGTCAAGGTGGATAGATGAAATCTCCCGAGGCCCTACTCCTAGGCAACTAGTTACTGCTGAGAGAGGAAGAATGAATCTTCGCCAGGGAGAAGCCCCCTAATTGGTTATCCAATTTCAAGTGGTAAGCCTTAAGAACATATTATATGAGCAACACTAAAGGGACTCAGGAAGTTGTATTTATATATTTATATACACACCATATATGAAACATCAGTTAAAGAATAAGAAGTTTCAAAATTTAGAGGGAGTGTGGAAACACAGGCAGTGTTGGATGGCGAGTGAGAGGGGAAAAGGAACTAAATACAGTACTCATATGTACTCCCCAAATAATAATAAATAATAATATCTCAGAGAATTGATTGCCATGGGGCCCAGTAGAGGGAGCTTCTGAGTACCAAATTGCCGGCTTTAGACAATTTTCTTCCCCAGGAGTCTCTATTCTGCAACAAACATGATTGGAATATTTATCTTTTTGTTAAACGGCATAAGTATGGCCCTGAATAAATACAGAGATAGATGAGAATATCTTCTAGCCTCTGAGTCTGAGACTCCACAGCATCTGCCTACAGGATGCCTTATCAGCTACTGCCATTGCCTGGCAACAGGGAAAAAAAACAGTGCCTAGTTCCAGGCTTTAGAGGAAAGCAGTTGATTCAAGAGGTAGACAATTTAGGGAGGAAAGTGACCCCTCTGGTGATGCTAAAACAAAACTCCAGGAAGCAGACACCCTAATATGGTAACAGTGCTTTTCTCTAGAATCTAGAGGCTGAGCATACGGTATTTTTTCCTTCTCTTGACCTGAACTTTGTCATGTTAACACACCATAGATGTTTCATTTAAATAGGACCATGGAATTCTTATCTACAATCAGGTTGCAAATCCTACCTCTTTAATCAAAGGAAAGCTGTGACTTCAGCACTTTCCCAATCCCAATACACATCCTCAAGGCTACTCTGGATGATGGGCTCATTCCATCTTCTTATTGTCAAGAGTTAAGAAAGTCTTGACATATACTTCTATGAACCCATTCCTGAGACAAGGTCTTTTTTTCTCTATGTGTCTTAGGTAGACATTGAACTTACAAAGCTCCTATCTCAGCTTCCCAAATCCTGGGACAGCATGCATTACTATTCTCTAGAGCTAACCTGGTATCCGCTACCTCTCTTCAAGTATTTTAAGCTCAAAACAATATCAATACTGGTTATAAGCTGAAATTGATAAGTCTCTGAAGGAAGGAAAGCAAGACAAGATTTCTGTCTTTTGCCACAGGAAAATCTGTGAGGCCCACTTGAAAATGTGAGCTGGTGGGGTTCATTTTAAAGAATCTGAAGTCCTCAGAGCTTTACTAGCCAAATATCTGCTAGTAAGAACAGTAGCTCCTGAGCAGCTGTTAAAAAAAAAGACTACCCTGAAGATCCGAGAGGGTTCTTTGAGGGTGTGGTGCCAGGGGCCTTAAGCAGCTGACCTCCTTGAAGCACAAGTAAACATCACTGCATGCAGAAGTCAGAGCTATCTAGCTCAAGGATAGTGGAAACAAAAATTCACTCAAGATTATTGTTTATGAGGTACCACAATGGGATCAGAACCAAGCCTTGTGTTTATCATCTATTGCATGTTTTTGCTTTTTACACAAATGAACTTCATTACTGACAGTTATTGAAAGCTAAATGTTGCCTCATTTTCCTGAAGGACTTCGTGGAGAGAGGAAGGATGTCTAGGAGACAGCAGAAATAAACAGATGGTGGGGGCGGTGTATTTTGGTCAAGCACAGTACAGTGGCTTAGGATCTGGCTGAGCACAGTGCTAATACAAAATAAGCTAACACAACCAAAAAAGAAAGAGGGTTTACCTGTAAAAGAACATCTTTGCACAGTGGACACTTCGCATTATGATCGAGGCATCTCTCAAGACATTTCAGGCAAAAGGTGTGCCCACAAGGTGTTGTGACTGGCTCAAAGAATAATCTGAAATTTAGGAAATGAATAGGACAAAACTGTAATAAGATTTTTAAAACAGACAGGGACATTGCTGGTTAAGGTTTCACAGTACTATTTGTCAAAGCCTGTGGGAGGGGCACTCCTTTTGTGTTTCATCCCGAGTGCTTCAGAAAAGCATTTTCTTTTCATTCTTGAGCTACATATAGAAAGATGCATTGGTTCATTTTTGCAGCATAACTAAATCATTTTGTAGCATTAATTCTAGCCTTTTCCTGTCTGGTCCAAGAAAATTCAGATTAGTGTTCAGAGTGTCTGAATAGATTCCATTATAAAAAAATTGTTTGGCCAACCTGTTTACCTGAGTCTATTGTAAGCACACCAATTCACACAGAGAGATATACACATGCATGCACACAGACTCTGAACATCATGTTACTATGGGGAAAAACTCAGTGTTTGATAACCTTGTATCTTTTCTTTATTTAAGTAATAGTTGGTGTCAGCCTTTTGTGGATGGATAATTTCCCCAGCAATAATAAGTAATATTGTTAATGCAGTCACTATCAATAGATAAATAAAATATGTGCATACATCTATCTACATATAAAATATGTACCAGACTTCCATTAAATCTTATTTCAGTTGCTTTGGGAAAGGTAGATGTTTTTAAAGCAATCTGTGGACCCTTAATGAAAGATGTTCTGTACATTCAGAGATGCATAGATTTACTTTGTGTAAAGAGAGGCTCACCGGAAACAGGACCAGGAGTTAGGGGTCAGCTAATGATGACTTAAGAAGTGAGGCTCACATTTAACAAGATGGTGAGCACAGAAAAAAAGGGAGACAAATCTTGATCAGTTTATTTTAACTTCTCAAGAGTGTTCAATTGAGAGGAAGAAGCTGTCAGCTTTATACTATATATATTTAATTTAAAAGAAGTCAAAAGAAGAAGAGATCAATGATTTGAGAAAGAGGAAGAAGAGACACAGTAGAGGGAGAAGGGTGAAAATTATATAAATATAGTACTCATATATGAAATTCTCAAAAAATCAATTTAAAAAAAGACTATAAACATCTGGTGAATCCCAATACATCGTAATGAGTTATTTTATTTGTTGATTTGTTTTGGGGAAAACTTGCCAAGCTGATTTTTAATGCAATAAGGAAATGCAAAGGGCTGAGTGCCAAGACACATCTGAAGAACAAGGATGTGGGAGGACTTGCTCCGCCAAACATCAGAACTTATTATAAAGCCACGGTGATTAAAACAGAGTGTACTAAAAGAAGGACAAATAGATCCATGGAACAGAATAGAAAGATCAGGAATAGACCCAGACATGGATTCTTGACTTATGACAAATGTAACATTTTAAAACAGGGCCATGGGAGTATTTTTAATGCACAAATATCATTTTCTATAAATGCTATAATGGCTATCTGTATAAGGAAATAAAAGTGGACTGTCTTTTTATCATAGACAAGAATCAATTCCAGGTGATCTGAAAAATAAATCTAAAATAGAATCTAAAGTAATATGTCTTTTGGAACATAAAATAAAAGAACATATATATGATACAGAGATAAAGATAAAGAAAACTCAAAGAAACACTATAAATGAAAAGATTCTTAGTTTTGACTCAGTTAAGTTTATCTAAAAGCATCATTGAAAGGGCAAACAGCCAAGCTACATACCAGGAGCGAATGTTCGCAATATGCAGGTTAAAAAAAAAAAGGCCTGTATCTGAAACATACCTAGAGCTTGCAAGAAAAAATATATATATAAAGCAGAGAGACAAACAGCCTAGTAGAAAAACAGGCAAACACTGGCACATGAAGAAACAGTGGCTATCCATGGTATTTCCAAACTAGAGCCAACTCAAGTATCCCTCTACAATAGAATAAAGAGAACAAACTTCACATACATGTTGTGAATAAAAACAACAATCAAACTAAATCAAAACAAACAAGGCAAAACCAACAACCAGAATCTGCCTAAGTTTTAGGACATAGGCCAAACCAGCTGATACCATTTAGAGCTCCATATATACATGGTAAACTTATGAGGAACAAAATCTAACTCAAGATAGAAGTTTTGGGGTTGTATTAGTTACTTTTATATTGCTGTGAGAGAACATCATGACCAAGTCAACTTTTATAGAAGAGCGAGTTTATTTGAGGCTTATGTTTCCAGAGGGTTAAGGTCCTACAAGGATAGTAGGTGACAGACAAAGTGGCTGGAGTCTGAAGCTGAAGGCTCACTTCTCAGACCTCAAGCAGACAACAGAGAAAGTGATCTGAGGAATCACAGAAGGCTTTGAAACCTCAAAGCCTGCATTCAGAGATGCACTTCCTCCACCAAGACCAAACCTCTTATGCTTCCCCAAATAGTGCCACCAACTGAGACCATGGGGGACATTTCATTGAAATCACCACAGGAGAAGTAGTTAAGGTCCTGATTGCAAAAAAGCATATGGACAATTGCTAGGGTCCTGCGGATATCTCACTTCTGAAACCAAGTGGTTACATGCAAGCTTTTTACAATATTTTCTACAGAACATATATATTTTACAATACTAAATGGGTTTCTAAAGTATGATTTCAGGGCTGATTCAGGAACCACTGAGGTGATCAAACTATCACAAAAGCCAATACAGAACAATTATTTCTTTACTACTTGAATTCTGTGCATCTGACTATTTTGCTCTGCCCCCCACCCCTTGTGTGTGTGTGTGTGTGTGTGTGAGTGTGTGTGTGTGTATGTGTGAATCAAACCCAAGGCCTTACGAATGTGAGAAAAGTATTCTATCACTGAACTACATGCACAATTTTTTTTAAGATAAGGTCTTGCTATGTAGCAAGCCAGCTTGTTTTCATACCCCTGGAAATCTTCTTGCCTCAGTTTCTAAAGTACTGCAATTAGAAGAATGTACTAACCTCCCCTGGGCAAGATTCCTTGCCCTGGGTATTTTTCAGGGACAAGTTTTTACTCTGTAGCTCAGGCTGGCCTGTAACTCCTAATTCACCTGCTTCAAACTTCTGAGTATTAGTGTTACAGACATATACTATTCAGCATATCTGAATGCTTTAACATATTATTAGGTTATACATATAAGGATGATGATTAATCTGTTATCTACTACTAATATACAAAACTTTTTCTTGAGAACTTCATAATTGAGCCTATTGTACTTTTAAGAATATATATACATTTATCTTACTATATTTCTGGTTGTATGCAATATTATTTTTCATTAAAATTAACGTTATATATTAATAAATGGTAATTATCATTAACTCTATTTTACTGCTGAGGACATTAAAACTCAAACAGATGAGATAACATGCCCAAGATTATACTGCTAGCTAGTAGGCAGAAAGCTTGGAATATATAAATCAAGTCTGACTTTCCAGCTAATCTTCCTCCTTTAGTCTACAAGATAGCCCGGACTATATGCATCCATATATTCAAACACATTCCAGCCAGCCAGTGATCCATCTGTATATGTACACACTTCCACATACACTTTTCTCCTTCCCTTTCTGATACTCTCCCTTCTTCCTGACACTCTAGAAGGATAAACACAAAGACTCTTACCTATGATGATAGAGGTATATACTAGAATGTCCATTACTAGAATGTCTACTAGAATAGAGAGATTCTGAAAACACTTCGGGGAGACATTTTTAAATCAGAGTAGGGCCAGCTTGTCTTACAAGAAAGCATTTCACATTATCAGAGTGATGGGGTAAACAATAGTAAGAAAAAATGCCTTCAGTTAGATATCAGTCCAGATAAAATAACTGCCTTATCTGGAAAGAGCTATCTTTCCCCACCAGTGACATCCTTGCATTGTGTTGTTTTGCAAGCAGGTTAGAGCAAAAGAGAGAAAGAAGGGGGAGGGAAAGAGAGAAAGAAAGAAGAGTAAACTGCCTTAATACCCAGTGACTTAAGGAGCTATAACTAGATTATATACAAAAAGTAAATATATATTTACTTGTCACCAGTGTCGCTGGGCCATTGGATAACTAGCTCAGGTAGTAAATAGTCTCACTTCGAATCTCAAAAGATCTTTATTATCCCAAAGGTATTACTTTACAGCAGTCCAAAGATGAGCCACAATGGCTCGGGTGATGTATACCAGGTAAAGCTAAAGGAGGATTTCCTGCCTCTAATGAGTGCAGGTCAGGGTTCTAAGGTGTTTGGATTAAGGGAAGACTTCCTTCAATAGAGTTCCTCCAATTTAGCAATGGAAACTTGGAGACTGAAAACAAATGTCATTGATGTATTCTTCCATTACTCCTCCATTAAAAGAAAAAAAAAACAAACCAGGGCCTCATGTAACCCAAGATGACCTTGAACTCTCTGTGTAGCCAAGGGTGACCTTGAACTTCTAATCTTCTTACATTTACATCCTTAGTGCTAGGATTACAGTGTGAGCCACTACACGTGGTTTCCAGATACATTTCCTTCCCTTTCCCTGTGAAACTTACAAACCAATCAATTTGTTCTCTAGAATCAAAATATATAAATTCATGGTCTGTCTAACTTCTCTCTTCCAAGATAATACCATAGGCTTAAATTTCAGTCTAGAAACTTGTACAGGTGGTACAAATGTCTAATTTCATGGCCAAGCGGTTTGAAATTACCTATAATCTTAGACTCTGTGATGAGTCTAATAAATTGTCAATTTGACACCTAAGAGACAAACCTCCAAGACACTTGGGAGAGATTATCTAGATTAGGATAAGCTATGGGTATGCCTGAGAGACATTATCTAGATTACTTTGAAGTGTAAAGACCCACCTTAACTGTGGGCTGCACTACTCCATGGACTGGGATCTTATACAGACTGAAAAAAGGAGAATGTGAGGTGAACGCCAGCATTCACCATTCCGTTTCCTGTATGTTGTGAAATCAACATGAGCAGCAGGACCCCAGAGCTTCCAGCCACATTTCCTCCCACCTGCTGCTATGTCTTGCTCACCATGAGACAATGATCCCCTCCGATGGTAAGCCAGAATAAACATTTCCTCCTTTCAATTGCTTCTGGTCAAATATTTAGTCACAGCAACAAGAAAAGTAACCAAGTAGAAAAGCTCTCTTCTAAAGACGGAGGAGGGCCAAAACAAAATCTAAGGACAGCCACAGAACAAACAGTAAGAGCTCCAGTGGGAAAAGAAACTTTCAAGACAAGAAAAATACAGGCAAACAAATTCACTCAGTCATGAACTGATGTAAAACTTAACAGACAAAGGAAGGGAAGCTACACGTTTCTTCTCGAGGGCTGAAATGTAAAGAACTTTAAATCAAAAAGCCCTTTAGGCTGGGCAGGTTTCTTACACCACAAGGCAGTGAGAGTCTAGCTATAATTTAGTAGCCTCCATACCATCTACTCTGGCCAAAGACTGAACAAGGGGCCACGACGGCTTTTAAGCTCAGAGGGTGCAAACTAGAAGGGGTGCTTATCCTCTGTGTGTTTATTTCTTGGACCAAATTCCTAACTCTTCTACGAAGTCCCTTGTGATTAGGGACCACGAAGATGAAAGAGGAAAAGAAAAGGAAGAGGAACAAAGGAATTTCAACCTCAGGATTTTTATTCCACAGAGAAAATACAAACAGGATGTTTGATTTTGTGTCGCCTGGATTTTGGCAGGAGTGTTAAGGAGGGTTAAGCAGAACAAAGCCCTGCTCTTTCTGAGTAAGCTAAATGAAATTGACTTCACAGCGCCTATCGCGGGCTTTAGAGACACAGCACTGGTGTGGTGGCTGCAGGGCCCGTTCTCTGCTTGCTTGAAAGCAGGTTTTTGCTATCTCATACCTTGGCTTTGGCGTGCCGCGTTTGCCACTCTATGGCGAGGGACTGGGTGAGGCAGTAAAAAGGATCTGCTTCTGTTGTTCATCCCATGCTTGCCCACACCACTTAAACAGACTCCTGACAGGATGTGTGAAGCTTAATTTGATCGTATCTATGCTGTATCTTCTGAGCTGTGTGAGACTTGCATATGCTTGTGAACAAATTTTGCTATTACTGGTTTCTTTGTGTATTGTTATTTTACTATTGTTGTTGTTATTGTGATGATAATGGTTAATGAATCCAGAATCTCATGAATAGTAGTCAAGTGCTCTGCTACTGAACTACTCCCCTAGACCTAAGTACGTATGTGTTGTGGCAATTATTTAAAATCAGCCACTTGTTAATCCGACTATCTAAGCTGCAGCAGCTCTGCCTAGCCCAGCTGCCATGTTTTTCGGCCAGAGGCCACGTGTGTGCTGAAGCTAGAAATGGCCAACTAGAAACACCAGCCCTGCCACCCACAAGACGTCGGCATGGGACATGGCTCAATCTCCCATGCTGTCTCTGCAAGGCTGGGCATTGTCCAGGCCATCCTGCCATCCACACGGGCTCAGTAGAAAGATGAGACTCTAATGCTTAAAGATTAATCAAAGGCTTATATATTTGGTAATGATCAGTAACAGGATACCCATACAATCAGAAGTGTAACCCAATACCCAACCTAGATATACCAACTACCTTTGACTGCTACAGACATGTGAACATCCGCCTCCATCTCCTCTCTCTCTCTCTCTCTCTCTCTCTCTCTCTCTCACTCTCTCGCTCTCGCTCTCGTCTCCTAGCTCCTCCTCTTCCTTTTTTCTTTTCCTCTCCCAACTCCTCCTCTTCCTCTCCTTACTCCTCCCACCTTAGCTCCTCCTACATGTGTGTATGTATATGTGTGTATGTATGTATATATATATTCAGTAGGCACCTCAGCATTTTTTCTAAGAAAAGTCTATGTTTCATGTAATAGTTGTCTTGATCTTATTCACATGACAAAAAAGTCATTCAGAATATAAATACATATGACAGGTAACTGAATAAGTGCTCTCAAAGTGCTTTGTTCAAGTATCTAAGTTACTCCTTCTTAATGCTTTGGGAGAAAATCAGCACATTTGAGAATCTAATACAAGCTGTATACTTCTATCTTAGAAACACATCCACCCATACATACACACACTTTACATATTGCTTCAGTGAATTCGTGCATTTGAATGTATACTTAGAGCATCACATACCTCATACACAGTGAGCATTCAAGGTCAGATGCATCAAAAGATCCAAGTGGGATACTGAGATCTGGTTTGGCCCCCTGGTTAACAGGAAGATCTGTGATTTAGGAAACAGTAAGTCAGGGATGGAGCAACTTGGTTTTTTACAGACAGTACTTCTGAGGAAAAAAGAAATGTCTTTCTGGTTTTCAATCTCAAACTCCCCCAGAGTTTAATTTAGTGGCTGCTTGAGCAATTGCCAATGGGGTTCCCTGAAGTGTGCTCCCAGCAGCATTTTAGCAGGCCCCATAGACAGAGAAGTTCAAGTCTAGGAGCTCCTAGCTGAGTTCATTCGAATTCAGTAGGCACCTCAGCAGCAGCAGCAGCAGCAATGGCAAATCCATGGACTGAGCCAGGTCTTCAAAGCTGAGACGAGTCTTGGCACTGCCAACCTCTCTTAGAAAGATATGAAGCTGTAGCTGCTGCTTCTCAGGGCACAACCTAATGAGATCTGAACACACCCCTGTCATCTTATATTCCCAGAACAGGGATGAGGGCAGGAAGTGGTTGTCCTGGAGGAAAGTGACGTGATGGATAGCATGGGATGTCATCACTTGATCAAGTGTTTGACCAGATGTCCAGACTATGGATAATCTATATCACACTACATCAGATCTATATCACACTATATCACATAGCTCTTTCGGTATGATAGTTATCATGTACACTCTCAAAGAATCTTCACAGCAACCCCTGGGGTTTCACAGTTGGTAAGTGCCAGAGCTAGACCATACACTCTGAGCTAGAGGAACCCCCAGAGAGGATATCTACACATGTCAGTGAACCCAGTCACCTGTATTACAATACTTTATCCCTGGGAAGAATTAGTACCTTGTTTGGGGACTTTATTAGGCAATTCTGTGTCTTCTTGGCTTTCAATTTGACAATGATTCCTCTTCTTTTCCTGGCATTTGCCAGTCCTGATGGTGGGAACATCTTGGTCCTCTCCTTCCTGATTTTTCTCTCTGTCTTCTTTACTACTCACCTTTCCTTGAGCTGAGTTTGCTAGGCTGCTGTTCTCTTCCCCCACCGCTGCTGCTCCCTCCTGATTAGAACAATGGGGAAGCTCCAGATTCTCCTAGGTGAAGCAAAATCCAGAGATCAGAAGCTACTTGGGACCAATACTGGTCCTCCAATAGTCTTACCGAGGCGACAAAGAGAAAGAAACATAGTCCTGATCCTCACTCCTGAACACGCAGTGACTACACAGTTCAACAGAGGGACAGTTTTGAGGTTTATTGGTGACATCTAATCTATGTCAAAGACATGCCTAGCTTAAGTAGAATTAGGGGGACTTCTCTACACAAGGACAACAGGCACATGGGAGGAAAAGTTCCCAGCAGAGGTGAAGGGGGAACTACAAGGGAAGCCTCACTTTTCCCTTCTAGCCAAAGCATTCCCCAGTGGTCTGTAAGGAAAGCAAAGCATTCAGTGAGGGTATATCCTGTTACTGGTTACTTCCCCTCACCCTGACTGTCATTCATAGACACTTTTTCAAAGGACATTAGGCCAGCTCTCTACAGACCTGCTAAAGCAAGTCATGCTCCAGAGCTATGTTATATTCATAGAAGACAATTTAGTCTGTTGACTCAATTTTGTGTGAAAAGTCTGAAGAGAAGACAAAAAATAATTTGGCCTAATAGCTTATCTCTAGTCTTTTACAGAATTTTGTCTAGGAAAAGGAGATTTGGAAATGCAACTTGAAATAATTCTGAAAATGTGCTTATTCCCATTGCTCTGGAGAACCTCTCTATAATCTATATCCATATTTGACAGCAAAAGGCTCACTTTTGTTTTTCCCCTCTAATCCTTGACAAAAAATGATAGTGGACACAGGTGAGAGGGAACAACAAAGAGCAGAGGAAAGGATGTGGGTTTTCTCAGTCTGTATCCCTGAGTGTTCATGGGGTTTCAAGTACTAAAAAAGCCCTCAATACTACAATTTGACTTTCCATGAGTCCAGAGTACTGTCCGCACAGCACAAGGCCTTGCAAAGCAAAGTATTGGTGGAAATGCACTCGCTGTTGCCTGGCCTGCTCACAGTGGAAAGGCAGAGGTTCTATTTCCTTCATTTCAGACTGAGTTGCAAGTAGAAGTCCCCACTCCAGGTCCTCTGGCCTAGTGTCTTAGTCGTGTACTAATGACCACTGGGGGCTCTCTGATTTCAGGAGATAGTCCAAGTTCTGCCATCAGCAAGAAAAGTCAGGTACCTTGCATTTTATTCCTTCTCTAGAGCAGGGACAGAAACTGGGAAGATGTGAGCATCCAGGGCTTATATACAAGTGAGGAACTTCAGGCACAAATGGAGAAGAAACTGCTCCCCAAAGGTGCCCAGGTATTCAGTGTCAAATCTTGCATCAAGTCTGGTCTTCTGAACCCCAACTTCTGCCCACTTACCCTGTGCTAGAAAGGCCAGCACCTGAAGCCCATCCCTCTGTTCCTTTGTTTCTGTTCCTTTGTTTTCAAAGACAACCACTAATTCTTGTCTTCCTTCTCAACTCAGCTATTGTGCTTCTTCTTTGCTATAGATGTGCATGAGAAGCCTACTTATGTGTAAGATATAGTGCAAGAGCAAGAAATTCTCTCCATTTGGTTCCCAAATGGAGTCAGCCTTGCACAAGGATCTCACTGGTACTCAAAGGCCATCAGCATCTGCCCCACAGCTTAAGCCCCAGTTATAGGGTTTCAGGAGAAGTAGGCCAATCTCTTTATAGTTCTATCAAATCTATTTTCTGGATTGGACCAAGACAAAGCCAATAAGCACACCCCAGTTATAGGGTTTTAGGGGAAGTGGGCCAATCTCTTTATACTTCTATCAAATTTCTCTATTTTCTGAATCTGACCAAGACTACAAATACAATAAATTCATAAACTTTTGGACCATGCCTGAAATTCCCAGTTGTAGTTTTAAGCAAAGGACACAGCCATTATCAACTCCATCTTTCTTTTTCCCTCAGGAACCAAAGTAGGAGAGGTAGGGCTCACTTCTCGTGTGCCCACAAAAGAGCCAAACGAAGCATCATGAGCGAGCTGGGTGAGTTGAGTTTTACCTGTGACAACTTTGGTAGATTATGGCTGGTGCCTTCAGTAGCCATTGACTCTACGTGTTCCTTTAATCTAGGGTGAGGTGCCAACAGCTTCAGGATATCGGGAGAATGTTCCTGAGACTCCCCCGGGACTGATGGTGAAAAGAAACTAAAGAGAAGCTGTGACATAAAACAGAAGACTTCACTACTCAAGTTTCTACAGGTGCTAGACTAAGGTGCAGGGGGAGGGATGGGGAACCAGAGAGCACAGCTTGCAAGGCAAAACTCGAATGAGGAAGCCTTGGAGCCATGTCCCTAGACACACTAAGGAGAGGTTGTTGCATAAACACACAGACTCATTTAAGAACAGGGGGAAAAGAAAGATTGCTTAGTCATTAAGAGCACATACTGTTCTTGCAGAGGAGTCGAGTCTGATTCTCAGCACACATGTAGGGTGTCTCACAACCACCTGTCATTCCAGCTCCAGTATATCTGACACCTCTGGCATCCAGAGGCACCAGTACTCATGTACAAACACCCAACACACAGACTCAAACACATACACAGATTTAAAAAGTAAAATACATCTTTTTAAAAAAGAATCACCTAGGAGCTTATGAAAATGTCAGGTCCCTGGGTCCAGCTCCAATCTCCTCAGGTCTGAAGTATGAGCCAAGAATCTCTGGGTTTTGAGAAGGCATGTCAGGTGTCTTTGTTACTTAGCCAAGGTTCAGAGCCAGCTCTATAGTGCCACCATTCTGCAAAAATCTGCAATGGGGCTTTAAAATCTATCCTAATTGAAGGAAACATAGAGGTGAAGTCAGAATAGATAGATACCTCATGTACGGGTTAAGGTGTGTGTGTGTGTGTGTGTGTGTGTGTGTGTGTGTGTGTGTGTGTGTGAAACTAGGTCATCCTGGGAAGAGGGTACATAAGAAAATGTCTGTATCAGATTGGCCTGTAGGCAAGTATGTTTGGGTATTTTCTGGATTAATGATTAATCTAGGAAGTACCAGCACAGTGTGGGTGGTGCCAACCCTGGGCAGGTGGTGCCAGTGTGTACAAGAAAGGTGAGTGAATGTGATGCTGAGACACAAGCCAGTAAGCGGATTCCTCTGCTTGAGTTCCTGTCTCCAGGTTCCTGCTCTGACTTCAATCAGTGACTGTGACCTGGGATGTGTAAGGAAAACAAACTCTGTTTCTCAAGTTGCTTTTGGTAAACAGCAAAGGAAAAGCAAACTAGGACTTCTCAGTGGAAGAATGGAGACTCAAATCCATAACAACTCAATGGGCTGAGAAGTCAACCAGTCTACACTGTTTGCTGCTGCTTTTCTACTTATCCATCTTGCTCTCCTCATTCACATTGTCACCCCTGGACCTTTAATCCCTTCAGAGTTAGGGACCTGAGTAGTAAAGTGTTAAGAAAGCAGAGCTCAAACTTCCTCTCCCCTTCCAGCCTCTTCCTCATCCTGGTCATCTCTGCAGAAAATGTCAGGTTTTAAGTTCAAGCCCCTAGGGGCAGGCAGGTTTCCTTGCAATTAGATACACTGGCAAAGAAGAAGAGAGAAGAACAAAAATGGTCTAGGAGTCAGAGATAAGCATTTGGGTGCAGGTTGCACTATTATACCATCAAGGGTTAGGGATTCTAGGTAAGTATGTATGTATGTATATATGTATGTATGTATCTATATATACATGCATACATCCCCCTCTGTGTGTGTGTGTGTGTGTGTGTGTGTGTGTGTGTGTAAAACACCAAGAAAGAAGGCAGATCACTGGGCTTCCAAAACCTCTTAGGAGACCTCGCCATATTTAGAGACCCACTAAAGAATGCCCCATACTGTTGTTCAGTCTACATAGTCAGGAGTGTTAATTTATCAAGAGACTTTGAAAGAACACCAAACTCAATGTTTGATTTACTCTTCTACTTGTCCTCCGAGGTGTCTTCATGATGTTCTTTCCTGTATCTATCAGCACTTTCCACGAATCCAAGTCCTACTCAGTATTCAAAGTTCTGCTCAAGTGCCACCTTGCCCCAATACTCCCATCTCTCTGATCTCATCTGCCCTTTCATGTTCTCTATAGAAGAGAATACCAAACCTTAAACTATACCATCTTACTTTGCACTGGAAGTGTGTCACAGAGTAAGTCTTTCTCTCCAGCCACCAATAAGTGCCTAATAAATATACAACACAATCATGGAAACAATGCTGGCATTTTTGCATTCAAGGGATAAAGAAGAAACCTAGCACTCAAGTGCCTCAAATCTTCAGTGAGATGTTTATGTTCCTTTGCAGTGCTAAAAAGCCTACTTTCCAGATATAAATTAACAAAAGTTGGAAGACACACCTAGTGCCCAGGGTCAGACATATAATCTTTTAGTGCACACCATTCCCCAGGAATTGAACTTGATTATCAGAGATACTATTCAAGGATCAAAAATGATATATCCACTTCTGAGACAGTATCCCCGGAGGGGGCCATATAACACTCAAGTATAAGGTCGAAAAGACAGAAAAGGAGGCCAGGAGACAAAATTAAAGGAAACAAGGCAGGAATAATATAGTAGTTCCCTTCTTAGCTTTACTGCCTAAGATCTCTCTGTAGGCCTTCTCAATATCTTTGGAAAATAAAAGATAGGGTCAACTTTCAGTGAGGATAATCATTCCATATGAATGAAAGTCGATTCTGCTGTAAATTCAGTCATAGAAAGACCCAACTGGGTTAAGAAAGAGAATCTGTAGTTTAAAATAAACCATAGGGCTGTGGGTTATGAGGAAGCTTATTAATACTCAGTGCATCTGGACTATTTTTCAAATGTTTAGCCCTAAAACTAGAATAATCCAGTGAATACACACAGTTAAAGCCTCTCAGTGTGCTTAAATGACTGATATAGCTCCATCACATTCAGCAGAAATATGCCTCCAAATTCTTACAGTAATTTCAGAATATTGTAATACTTCTTGTAAGCATATATTCACTTGTATTTTCTGGCATTCATCTTAACCAACACAAGCTTGTATGTTCCAAAAGGCACTTAGGCTTCCTTGGGTCTCCAGAGTTTCACACAATGCCTTGCCTTTCATCAGGCAGGTATAGAAACGACAACAGCCTATGTATAAAAGCAAACTGGAGAGAGGTTAGTTCAACTGATGATACGAGAACCTCTTGGGCCACCTGAGGGCAAAATCAAAGCAAAGAAGCAGGTGACCTCAAGAAAGTCACTGAGCCTCAGATTTCACCTAGAGAAACAACAGTGAGGTATGGGAACTAAGTGGAACCTTCAAACAAGTGGCTGGCACATAGGCAATGCTCAGCTAATGTTATGCTGTGCACTGACTACACTTAAGTTTTAGGAAAGGTCCATACACTGCTAATAATAGTGCTTGATTCATACCCCTTTTAATAAAACATTACCTCCCACCCCCACCCCCCCCACACAAATCAGGTTAAATGATTTTTCTAGACAGGAAATTTCCTGCCAGAGTCAGAAAATCCAGAGTCTAGCCTCTGCCATCTTTATTAGTTTTGCTAAATATTCCTTTCTAGAGTCTTCAGAGACCAATCCTGTCTCTTGCCCACTTTTCCTCCACCCCTCCCTGACAAAGCATTACATGGGGGGTGGTGGATAGAAGGGATTGTGGCCTGGTGTTGAATAGTGTAAAGGGATAGGAAACCAAAAACCATCACTAAGCATCAGCATCCAACTTCCAGGCCAATTATTCAGACACCAGCAGAATAAATGTACAAAAAGCAATAAAAGTCAAAGCCCATCCAATGAGGATGCTTGACCCTTCAATCAGGTTCTTGGTATTTCTCATGATATTTGTTTTACAATCACAATCTCCTGGAACTGAAGAGTTGGAAGGACTAATTAGATTCTTACATAATGGTCTCTGACTTGCATTTGTGAGACAGTAGGTTTAGTTTTCTAGCAGAAGAGGTGAAAGTTTGAATTCTGTATGTGGCAAGCAACATGGAGACCACCAGTGACCCTTCCCAGGAGTTGCCCTCCATGTGTGGCTAGTGAAACGTGCGATTCAGCCAAAGAAAAGTTATACAGTTGCAAGCAGCTCCCACTTTCTGGCCCTCATCCAGACTCTTCAGTGAGCCTTCATTCCAAGATTAGCTTACTTGGTTTAGTTTTGTTTTATATCCCATTGATTCTAAGTTAAAGCATTCATTACTGACTCCTACAAAAAAAGAGCAGGACCTGCTAATTTGAGAGTACATACCAGAAGGACGGGGCTTCTGGGCTATCAGTTGGCATCTCTCTCATGCCCCTTAAACCCAGAGAAGCACCCATTCAGGACCACAAATACCGAGGAGGGTAGCATCTTCATCCTTCTCCCTAAAGAAGACAGCGTGATGGGGGTCTACTAGGCAGCTAACCCTAGGTCACTCAACTCACCCTTTGAGCTTCAGATCTAGCTCTCTTGTTCTTTCCGTCAAGGGATACACAGTAGAGAAATTCTCTGAGTGCTTCTTTCACCTTGCCTAGAGTGGCTAAAGCTTGTGCTTTTCTGAAGTGTGCCTGGAAGAAAACAGTAGCAGTCAGTCACATCTTATTCCCCTTCTTCATATAGCAACGATTAACAGCAATCGCTGAGTACTTACTGACCAGTCATTGTCTTGTCAAAAGATAATGGTAAACTATTTAAAATCTCATTTAAAAGACAACCAAAGGGAGATCCAGAGAGAGAACTGGGAAGCTGGGAAGTCAGAGCTGAAACCTGGGACTGACAATATACCAAGCCCACATTCTTAGCTACTATGTTTACTGCCTTCACTCCACCCCACAACTATATGAGGATCACAAACATGCCAGAGCCTCCATTTGACTACAGACTGTAGTAGCTCAGTTTTCGAAGTTCATCCAGAGATGACTTGCCTCTCTTTTGCACTGGTCTGTAAAGACAGTCACGGCTTGAGTGAGCCAACCATTTCTACAGAAGCCCGAGAGAAAGATCATGGATCCTTCAAGATTTCAAAGGTCACTAGAAGCAACCTAGAACTAAAATTGTGGTCCCAGGACTTCTAAAGGACTTTTCCTACAAAGGCAGACCACTTTCCAGAAGGCCGACCAGTGATTGAGCCAATGATTTTGCTTATAGAAACTTAGCTGTCTTTTTCTCTCTTGCTGCACATTTTACATGTATTGGGAAGTTTTGTGGCCTTCAGATACAAATCAAAGTGCTGATGGGCTAAACTCCTTAGACGGGCCTAAGCAGCATCCTGTGAGGGGCAAGGAAGAGAAAAGAGCATAAAGGGTGGCCTTCTCTTTGTGCCTAATAGGAATGAAAAGGCCTAGGTTTCACTTGGCCAGCATTTTCTCTGCCTCCTCTTCTAATATGTGTCTGTATGGTGTCAGGATCTGGCTAGGAGCCACAGCCACAAACCTCTTGGGGTCCTCTTTCCACACCCTCATTTCTTTCTAGAGCCTAATCTTGGCTGTTCCACTCCCTTGTTGCTCCAGCCAACAGTGGCCTTCGGGAGAAAGGCTAGCACTATGCTCCAGAGCAGCTATACGGGCTAAGTCCTAACGGCCTCTGAGGTCCCAGTAATCAACAGAGTAACAACTCACACACTTCACTTTCTCAGGGTGGCCAGCTTACTCCACTGACACCTATACGACCAGCGAGGTGTGGTGATGTCATTAAGCCCTAGATGGAATTGGGCTGCCTACTGGACTTGTTCCCTTATGGTATCTCATATAGAAAGGGTGGGAAATACAAAACTCAGAGTGTGGGTGTATATGCATTAGAAGCTTTCAGCACCCAAGACAGCAGAGTTCTCTGAATGCTCCCTTTCCCTTTACCCCCAATTATAGGGAAATGACACCCCTGCCAAGTACTTGCTCCAATTCCTCTTTCACTGTGGAAATCCCTTTTCTCACTGTGTCTAGAACATAATTCTCAGTGCTCTTCCCATCATGGTATCTAGATTTGATTTTCCAGTGGAAATGTCTGCAAGTCCCTCTTATCCCAAAACAGACAGCTACCTAACTCACATGTTAGCCCATCTCCGTGGCAACTTAAGGTATTGGTGACTTGTATTAAGCTGTAAATATGTTTCTTGGGAAAGAGAATACACTGGACAATCACCTCCATGATAACTCTCTCATGAAATACCAGTGAGATTCGCTCTAATATTATAGACAAAGTTTACCAGTCCACATGTGGTTTTCCCCCTAGAAGGGCTCACTGTAATAGTCCAGGCTGAGCTCAACCATGATTCCCCTGGAATCCCAATGCAGGGTCATGCCACCACACTCAACTTCACAAGGCCTTATCAGAAGTTCCTAAATATGTAAAACTTTTGATTATTCAATATTTACATAGGTTTAACACCAAATCACTAGGCACCAACTTCTGAACTAAACTGTTGTAAACAGTTTTACAGTATTTACACTATACAGTGTGATTTTTGCATGTAAGTTGCTGCAGAGTGTGTTTAATTAGACAGACAGGGAGGTTGCCTGGAGATTATTGGAGGGATTGCCTAATCCATGGTCTCGCTACCATCAGAACATTCTGGATTCAGAGGACATCTGTCCCCATGTGATTCAGATAGTCACAATAGCCCTGGTCTTGGAGACACTGCTTTTCCTACCCTTGGGTTGTACAAGATCCTGTAATAGAGTTTGCAGAATGTTCAAGTTGCCATTCTCACTGTTGATCCTTATACATACCTGTGAAACAATCATGGCAGAAAGCAACAGCATCATTTAACAAGTAAGAGTGCTTGAGTTTCAGAGAATGTAGCCACTTCCCCATGGTCACACTTTGCAAAGATTGAGGCCCAGACCCAATTCTAATCTACTAAACAGAATATGGACATGTGGAGGAGATTGGTCCCGAGGCCATGCAGAAACATAGAAAGTGATGCTTTGTATTTGGGTATCCCCTGTCTTGTGTCTATCCTGTCTTTCTTCTCACCTCTCCCATGTGACCTAGATCTTTGGGGGGATATACTGGCATGTCAAATGACTGTATTAATGATTCAAAATGGCCAAGCCATTGTGAAAATATGAAAATCTCTTTTAAAAAACCCAAAAGCTGTTTGAGCTCTCAAAAAGCCTGGCTATCAGTAGTTATCCCAAAGGACCTGAGTAGGAATATCTTTCTTATACTCCTCTCCCTATTATCCCCAGAAAATTACGAGCGATGATGGTGGTGGTGGTAGCAGATGCTTCTATAACGCTACATGCATTATTCCAAGCATCTCTCCTACACGACCTTATACAATCTCCACAACAGCCCTATTTCGAAAGTGCTTTGGATACAAGCATGTTATAAGTGAGGGCATCAGACACAGAGAAATTAAGCAATCTTCCCAAGGCTGTACAGTTAAGAAAAGTAGCAGAGCTGAGACATGAAGTCAGGTTGTGCTACTGATTCCATATTTGAAAAAATATATATAAGGACAAGTCGATCTTGAAGGTTACCAACCGAATGTAGATTTATTGAGATCCTTTGCAGACTTAGACCTCCCTTCATCAAGGGATGCCCGGCACTGTCAAGCTCATTAGCAAGTTCTCTCCTCTCTTCATTGCTGAAGCTCTAGCATCTCCTGCCCCAGGGAGACAGCCCTTCTTACCAGTCTCTGGCTACAGCATGGCCCCTTTCCATCCCTCCTGTCCCACACTCACCTTAAAACCCATTGGCCGTAGTTTACATGCTATTTCTGCATCATGCAGTGCATCCTCATGAGACTCCAAGGTGAAATAAATTTGGGACCGATTGCTATAAAGCAAATGGTCATTTGGAGCTGCCAAAAGGAGAAAAAAAAAAGCCCTGATTAATGGCCTCCAGCATAAGCACATGATAAGCCCTGCATGAGGATGGATCTCGAGGAAAGAAAAGTTATCTAAGCTCTTTCTACTGGACCCAATGAGTTAAGTGTCATTTCTAATCCTAATATTGTCCTGACTAACACCATAGCTTATCCATGCAAAGCAGTAGTGTTGCCCTCTTTTTTCAAGCAGTTCCTAAGAGGTGTAGTGTTCACGATATATTAGAAATTTTCACCTAGAGGAAACCCTGGCACTGCTCTGCAGATGCACACTGCTAGCGCCCAACAACCTGGCACCTGAATGAGCCACCGTCCAAAAAGAATAAGGCCTGGGAAGAGAGAGAAAGGCAGCCAGTTGGGACCCCTACCTTGACCCCAACCAAGCCAAGTCCATATTAGTCTTCTCGTTGTCGGGATGACCTGTAGCATAACAATACCTCCAGCATAACAATACTTCCCTCTCTCCCTGGCTTATGAACCTTTCCTGGAGGAAACAGTTATGCATTTACAAGGTCCATCCTCCTAGTGATGGCCAAATAAGAAAACACCCCCTCGACACAACTTTTAGGAGTCTTACTCTCACCATCACTGAATCACTAGAGTCCAGGCCTGAGTAGGTCTTCAACTCACCCATTCTTCAGATAGGAAAACTAAAGCCAATGAGGTGAAGTGATAAGTCACACGGCTGGTTGATGTTAAAAGTTTTGAGGCTTGGGTGGAGGAAAGAAAGTTCCTTTTACTGAGTGTGGGTATAGCATTTAGAATAATAGAACATTAGCCAGTTTCAGGATAAATATAGTCTGTGGAAGGGGCCCATTTCCCCTTAGAATGGTGAAGGTGGTATTGACTTTTTTTTTTAACCCAGACTGCTCCAAGGAGATTATTAATAAAGGTACAGGAATGATCCTTCCTGGGGAAGTGATAGCAGCAATAGAGAGGAAGGTGGGAAGGGGCTTTCCTGTCTGGCCCTTGGGAAATGGATGAAAGTATTCAGCCTCTCTTAGAATTCCATACATAAGTGGCCTCTACCTATTTCTGCTGCCAGAAACAGGTTTTGGTGTCTGCCTCTATGCCATCCCTCAGGAATATGTATGTTCTGAGGTGACCTGGGTGCCCATTACTTGCTCTTGATTTTAGCATAGAGTTTACAATATTCTCTAGCACTTTTCTGAAACACACACCCACTGGCCCATTGGCAGCTCACAACCTGCTTTGTTTTCGCACGGGCAGGGTATGAGTTACAAGGACAGCTGTGTTCCTCAGTTATCACAGCCAGTGGTTTTGCTCCCTTCTGCATTACCTGTTGCTGGCTTGGGTGGGACTGAAAAGTGGGGAGACTCCATCTCATTCTTCCTCCATCCATCAGAGATGGCCCAGGAGGCCCTAGGATCCCACAGCCCCTTCTGCTTTAGCCAACTGCCTCCACACCAGCATGCTCAGTTGGACACTGTGCCCTGACTGCCTGCAGAGGTGCTGGCTGGCACCACTCCGTGCTTCCAAGGCCACTTCCTGGGTTGGAGTGGGAGGAGGCAGGAGGAGCAAACAGGTCCCTGGGAGAAGTCTGGTACTCCAATCAAGCAGAGATGTGGGACTGCCTGGGTTGCCCTTGAAGCTACAAAGTGGACCCTCTCAGGCAACTCTTGGAGTAGGTTAGACAGAAGCATGCTCCCTTTGTAATCAACCCCTTGTTTCCTTATGGGGGGATCCCCAGCCGTTGCCTTGTTCTGCCATCCATTGGGTTAGAGGGGTCAAAGGGTTTGATGTCAGGGCACCGGCTAACTGCGGCGGGTGGAGGGGGCGGGGCAAATGCGTCTATTTCAGCCAAGGAATCCTGTGATAGGAAACGGTGACAATGAGTCACAGGGCAGCGGGGAGCGAGCCCCCCCTCCGCCCCCCCGCACAAGCTCGCGGGATGGTTTCTGAGGCGAGCGTGGCCCACTTCAGTTACCTCAGCGTTACACAATCCCCGCCTGCCCGCCCGCTTGCCCGCCCGCCCGCCCTCGCGGGGGAGGGGCCGCCGGCCCGGGCGGCTCGAGGTCCTTATGCAACCAGTGCTCTCCTGACCTAATTCCAGGCGGGACCCACCCCACAGGGAGCCTCGGCCCCGGAAGGGAGAACTCCCAGAGGCGGGTGTCGCGGACTCGGGCGCCGGCACTCCACCTCCGGCTGGTAAAAGCCAGGAGGACCGCGCGGGAGTTTGGAAAATAGTGCCAAGTTCCTCTGCTGACGGGGAAGGTGCCGGCAGGTGTATGGGCGAGCTCCAAAGTGTCCAGGAAAGACAGAGAAATAGAGACGGTGACACTGAGCAAGACCGAAACAATGACAAAACTGAGAAAAAAATGCGCAAAAAGGAACGGGATGAACTAGATAGAAACTGGAACCAGGAGGTAAAGGAGCAGAAAAGTAAGCAGGAGAGACGAAAAGAGCACGAGAAAAATAAAAGCAAGCGATAGAACCAATCAGAAGATTGAGACACAGCTTAAAAAAAAAAACACTAAAGTAGCAAAGACAAACTCCGAGCAGTGCCCCCTCCCTACTCCTCGTGGGCCACCGGCTCTTCCCTCGCCACCCCACCCCCAACCCCGCGCGCGCGAAACCAAGTCTGTCCCGTCTATCCCCCCGCCCCCGCCTCCCAGCGGGAATCGCTCCCCCGCCCCCTCGCGTGGCGAGCAAGCCCGTGTGGCCCAGGTGGCAGCGCAGGGGGACTCACCTAGACGCACAGCCTCGTTGTACTTGAGCAGAGCTGCCTCCACCTGGCGCTCGCGGTACAGCCGGTTGCCCTCATGCCGGAGTTGCGACGCCCGCGCGGGGCCCGGGAACAACTTGCCCAGGAGGCCGCTGAGTACCACGTTGACTCGCAGTTGCAGTGGCGCCTGCGACCCCGAGCGCCGCGGCCCGCGCGCCCTCCCACTGGCCACCATGAGTGCGGAGAGCTTGACCCCGCACAGGGTGCAGCGCCGATCGGCGGCCCGCCCGCGCTCCAGGCACAGTTTACAAAAGGTGTGGCCGCACCACAGGGACACCGGGTCGGAGAGAAACCCGTGACACTTCCTGCACTTAAAGCCATCCCATACCTCGGGGGCCACGGCCGCGGCCTCCCCTGCCTCTTTCAGTGCCGCCGCGCAGCAGCTCGAAGTGGCGCTCGGGTCTGAAGAAGCTGGCGCCATCAGCTCCTCTTGCGGGACACTGTCGGCCAGGCAGCGCACTAGCTGCTCCAGCTGCTCCGCCACGAGCTGCTGCCTCTCGGAGAGCTGTCGGTACACCTCGAGGGCTTCCCGAAGGTGCCCCCCAGATGCTAAGGCATCCGCCTGCGTGAGCAGGACTTTGCACTCCAGCGGCGTCGAGGCCGCCAGAGGCTGGCTTTGCTCTGGCTCTTGAGCCGCGGGAGCTTGGGAGCCCTCGGGTGTCACCTCCTCCGGGTGGGCGGCTGACTCTCCTGCGGCCACCGATGCCGCCGGCTCCTCCGGCTCCGCCAGCTCCAAGTTGTTGCTGCCGAGCTCGGCGGGCAAGCTCACCATCTGTGCGGTCTGAAGGGAATCCATGGAGAGAAGGAACTGCGGAGGTTGAAGTGAGGAGAGGCGTCTAGGAACAGGGAACTAGCAGGAGAGAGCGGCGGCTGGGAGCGGGCTGCGCCGACGAGAAGGCGGGATCGCCGCGCGCGCGAGTCTGCCTCGCCTCCCGAGCTCCATGCCGGCTGCCCCGCGCTGCCTAATAACTGTCTTGTCTCAGCGAAGCGTTATATAAAACGCAACCACGTGACTCCCACCACGCTGCTCATTGGCCGGCAGCGAGGAAATTGTTACAAAACCAGACAGTTTTGTAACAGCTTTGCGCTTGCTTCTTTTGGCTTGGCTTTTCTTGGCTTCTTTTTTGAGGTTGTTTGCATTTACTCTTTCTTTCTCACTCGCGACTTTGGGTCCTTTCTGGACTGGGGAGAGGTACACAACCTCTTCTTCCACGCTTTTCCGTCTCTAAACTCTTTGCCATCCCACCTCAAAAGTAGTCTGCAAACAGGTCCGCTCTGCCAGCCGCTTGCTGGTGTCCCCCGCCCGAGAAGCCGGTTCCTGGTCCCTATGGGCTCCAGTCACAGAAGTTGCTGGAATGCCAGGCTCCCCTCCAGGGGGCGATGGCTGCTGTCAGCAAAGGCACCGAGGGACACCCAAGAAGCTCTCATTTGTTCCCTAGAAGAGTTCTAAGTGCCCCTACTGAAGCTCCTGGGTTTCCTGGGGGATTCCCCCAAAAGAAACTTAGGGCAGTTTCGGGAGAGCTCTTTGTTTCTTACTGAGGCAGCGAATCCAGAGCAAAGGGTGCAGCGGATAAAAGAAGTTAGGCAGTTCGTGCTGGGCAGCAAGGATTGCTCACTAGGACCCCAGAGAGGCGCCCTCTGGCTTTCCTCTTTTTCCCCCTAACTCAGGGACCATTGCTGGGGCGAGCGGCGGGCACCCCGCTGGAGATTCACTGACTCCAGGACCCAGAGACCAGATGGGCACCACCTTGAAAGCTGAATTTGCTGTACACTCGGGGGCGTGAGAGAGTAGCAGAGGGAAGATACAGGCCCAAGACAAAGCAAATCCAGAAAAAAAAGTCAGAATTCAGTCACAGTTCAGCTGCCAAATAGCTTCCAGGTTCACAAGAGCTGACTTCTGCCAGCGGTGCCTCCCTCACCTTAGGGTTTGCACCCTTGCGCTAGGTTGAACACAAGTTGTTGGCTTGTGCCGGGGCCGGGTAGTTCTCAACTAGGCACCCTTAAAAATTGTCAGACTGGTCACAAACTACACAGGGGTTTGTTTACTGCTGGCCTTTGCATTTTAGACAAGAGCTATGAACAAAATGAACAGGCAGGGTTCCGGGATACCCCACTTCAGGACAGACACTGCTCCAAGAAGGAAGGCTGAGTTCAGTCAGGCTTGCTCTCAATTGTCTTCCCCCTCCCTCCCGCGCCTACAGGTCCTGGAGAGTGCTCACATTAAGATTCCAAGCAGAAGGCCACCAAGTTGCCTCCTGCTGTGGCCATTCAGCTGGGGGGTCTTGGGCAATATCATCTAAACCTGTTATTTTCACTTCTAAACAAATGTCTGGGATGGTTTTAGCTGGGATTAAGTCTTGTTTCAGAGCTGGGATGATAGACTCTTTCCCAGCATTGAGGTCCTTAATCCAGTCTTAAACCAACAAACACCAAGATCCCGGGGAATAAGTGTAGATAATGTGCAGCACACTTCATAGCATTCCCCTTCTTGTCAAACAGGACACTGAGTAGAGACGGGAGGCAGTTCATAGACTAGAAAGAGCAAGAAAAGAAACTAGGCTCAAGATCCAATCAGGAAGACAGGAAAACAACACAGGAAAATTTGGTGTAGTTTTGGCTTTGCCATGATTTGCTGTCAGATAGATGCTGGACAAAGCCTTGGGGTCCTAAAGTTTCCTTCAGCCCTAACCTTGAGTGTTTTTGATCCTAAAACCAGATTTCAGGTGTTAACTACTGAATCTCAAATAACTATTCCATATTCCATGGCAGGTTTGGGGAGATGGGGCATGCTTGGGACTGAAGACTGATTTCAGCAGCAGCTTCGGGGGAGCATAGGGCTCAAAGGCCATCTTCTATCATGATTCTGAAGCTAGGGAGCCCATCAGGAGACTGACCAGGAGATGCAGGAGGTGGAGAAAAGTCAATAGAGACCAAGCTACAGTTTCTGGTGGTTTGCTATCTGGGGCTGGGACACTCATTTCACTCCTTAGTTTACTCTGCTGTCTAGTGGAATTCCCAGCCCTAGTTCTATGCCTACCACTTCTGACACCTATAAGGAAGGACACTCTGTAGGGCATAGAAAGATTAATTTTAAAGGGCCATGATACTGGTAACAATGAAACCTCTTAATTTAAAAGCATTTATCCCTTTGACATCTCTAAAACATTATCCGAAATCATCATCTTCCAAAGGCAGTGGTGAGGATGTGCCTTGCTTCTCAAACCACTCTGTCTAGTAAGCTCCTTGAATTTATCCCTCTGTAACCTATTGGTGATGGGAAAACAAGGTTTCCGCCAGGTTGAGCAGAGGGTCACAGAACTGCCTGCATGGGGAAGGATGTGCTTCCCAGGCCCCTTCTGGACTCCTGCATGTACAGGATGCTGACCATGAATTTGATTAGGAATGGTTCTGATTATTAGGGTAATAGAGGGGCCTCTGGTGCAAAAGGCAGTTGTACCTAGCTAGCTGCTGACCAGACCAGATTCCATAGAAGAGCCACTGTAGTAGACTACACCCAAAGAGCATTCTACCAAATGCCGGGGAAACTACCACTGTGTTTTTCTTTCCTTCTTTATGTAAGTTAAACAAACACTAGGTTTCATGTATGTTTGTGAATCAAAGTGGAAGTCTCCTACTCAAAATAACCTCTTCCAAGCTCCCTCGGTAATAACTGGGGGATTCCTGGAGTGAGGGTAGGTGGAGGCAGTTGGCAAACTTTTCTTTTCTTATCCAATATTCCCACTGAAAGATCCTATTCTATCTGTTTCATTAAGATTGCACATAGCCAAAGTGAACTGGGGAGAGAACAAAAATTGAAATACTTCTCATTTTTACCAGTTACAAGAAAAGGTTTTCAGTTGGGCTCAGTAGAACCTCCCTGGGTCCCAGAGGGGAGTCTAAGCGGAACTAGACCCCCTAGCTCCTCCCCTCAGCCAAGACTGCTTCATACCCACCTCATTTGAGATATGATTTCATTAAAGATTTCTCTATAAAATAAAAGTTTGAGAGTCATGGGCATTTTCATCCATTTTCAGATATTTATATTGAGAATTGCCTATGTAGCAGACTGTATTCCAGGTACTGGAGCTTTTGTTAAGCAACCCTTATCTCTCAAGTGTTTTCTTTTTGGATAGCAGTACATCTTGTATCCCATGTCTGTGTATTGACTGAGTAAACTAGAAGCCCATAAAGAAAAGAACCAACAACTATCCTCCTCAGAATATATTACTTGAACAGGTTTTATTACACATAAATGAAAATCCTAGTACAGACTGGAAACATTCAGAGGGGCAAGCAGAAATCCAGCTGCAATGTACCTCTGTCCTGGTTTGTTCGTAAAGAGAGCAGGTATGTAGATAGTGAATATTTGACATTCCTGAGATGGAAGAGTTCAAAGTCAAGGATGTGGGTGAAAAGTAAGCAACATTCTCCTCCACACATACAATGCAGAGGAGCTTGGCCAACTCACATACTTTAGCCAAGTTTCTCATTTCAGAACCCAGGGTCGATTTAAACTCTTTAAAGACCTTCACACCTTGACTTGAGTAAAAGACTGTCCATTGCTACACAGAATAGCCCAAGTCTAGCACTAACATGAAGCTTACTTAGGTTTTACAGATGAGGAAAGTATGTGCCAGAGAACACTGGTGTCTTACTACAGGCCACAATGAGAATTCAGGACACAGCTAGGATTGGAAGCCAGGACTTCTTTCTCTATGTGAGTTTTCCCATGTGATCATTTTGCTTCCAAAAGACAAAAAGCATCTGTCCAAATAAGAAATTATGTCAGCTTTCCCATCTACAAGATTTCCATCAGTTCAACTATTGTGCATCAAATATGTGCTGTGTGCTAATGAAGCTGGCTTTTTTTGAGCACTGATATAAGGATGTGATAGACACACTCCCTACTCTCCAGTAGCTCCCTGAAGAAATGAGAAGCAAAGTTCTGAAGCAGTTAGGTGAAGACAACAGGCGGTATCTAAGAAGTGTCAAGGCTAGGGGATCAGTGTGTTCATGGGAGTGCTCAAAAACAACAGAAGGCAGCATTTCCCATCTTACAAAGAAGGTGCCTGTGGGCTAGGTGGCAGAGGATGTGAACAGCTGCATCTCAACTCAAAGGGGACTCCCTTGACATTGGTGCTGGGTTCCCTGAGAAAGGGGTAACATTCAAAGTTGAGTTGGTCAAGCCCCAGGGTACTTTTTTTGTGGTGCTGAGGACTGAACCCAGAGCCTCACACAGGTTCAGCAGGTACTCTGCCATTGCATCCCACTCTTAGCCCAAGCATCTGTAGTTTTAAAACTCCACAGACAAATGTGACATTCCATGTGGTCTAGTGTGCACCTGTGGAAAGGATGGGGCAGATCTTACTTTCCCTACTTCATACTTGGTATCCCCAAAGGACCCCAGGGATATCAAGAGTTCTTTGCTACATTTGAATGGAGGGCAAACTGAAGGACTGAGACTTTCGATGGTAAGGTAGCCTGCCAAGCAGGAAACAAAGCAAGATCATAAAATACTAAACTGAGGAAGGTTTTCTTTATTTATCACCAAGACAGTTCAGACCTGCTTCCACGGCCAGTGACTCCATTGTCCAAAGTACAAAAACAGAGCAAGGTTGTGGAGCTCACAGCCAGGTAGGAAAGCCACAGCAAGGGTTGTTGCTGGGAGCGTGCTGTTTTTGAGTTCACTGCATGACTCGGCCCAAACCACTTTCCCCTTCTCTTTACGTATGTTCTTCACCTATTAATAATGATGTCCAATGTCACTATCATGATTAGCTCCCAGTGATGGAAAAGGCACGGTCCTGACATCATTCCTGGGAACAGAAGGAATCCATAGCCATCTGCCAATGGTTATGAGGAAAATGTCTGTGGGCTACCTTCAGAATAAGCACCTTCTCTCCGGAGAAAACTCAACTAGACCGGATCCTGACTTAGGACAC